TGGGTGCATTAAATGTGGTTCTCTCTTTGGATTTTGGAGCAAGACATACCATATTTATATACACTGTTTTGATACACACATTGGGTAATCAAAGACAATGCCATTGTTGAGATAGGATGGGAGTAAAAAAAGAGTTTGAACATCATTTCTGATTCTTCTGAAAGTCACTATGTTTAAATGGAAGAGACAATCTGTACAGCAGTGCTTTTGGAAATGCCAGTAGAAGACAGAGGACAAATGGAATCTGTCAATAGAAGTACCAGGGTGCATATACTTTTGAGTAAAGACATGATTTTCTACTACATACTATTCTTGCTTAGAAAATATAGTTTCTACATTGCTACTGTATCATAGTGAAGTCTGAGCACTGGGGTATGGATCTTAAGATGAGTATCTGGGACCAAGAGATAGTAGATGGGTTGATTCACACACAGCTGACTATAAAGTTCTGTGATCACCTCCAGGAGTAATCCTGAACCCAGAATAAGGTGTCCTGATTACTGCCAGTTATGGCCCCCCCTCAAAAAAAATGTACTTGCTGTTATGTGATTCAGTGTGTAATAAAGTGAAGATTTGCTTAATAACATTTAATTGTTGAATTTAACTAGAATCATGCAGGTCTGGAAACACAACAATACCTGATGAACAAATATTTCAGGCATCACTGTTACCTGCTATTAATGCTCATGAGCTCTCTGTCAGTCTACATTATGGATCTTAGTAATGAAGTGGGCTGGAGCGATAGCACAGTGGTAGGGCATTTGCCTTGCGCGCAGCCGGCCTGGCCGAGCCAGGTTCGATTCCTCTGCCCCTCTCAGAAAGCCTGCCAAGCTACCAAGAGTATCTTGCCAGCACGACAAAGCCTGGCAAGCTACCCATGACATATTCAATATGCCAAACACAGCAACAACAAATCTCACGATGGAGACGTTACTGGGCCTGCTGGAACAAATTGATGAACAATGGGAGGACAGTGACAGTGACAGTAACCAAGCAAGAAACTATATGGACCTAATATGTAAATAGTTTGTACGGTATATGGTACCAGCTCTAACTAATGTGTTACAGATCTGCTGAGGGGTACTAAAATTGCAATTGTGAAAAGATATCTCTCCCTCAAAACCAAGATTCTCAGACTGTAAACTTTGCACGGAAGTAAAGAAAGTTGAGGCAATGTTACAGGGCTCAACCATATGGTCAATGGCGTAGAAAAACATTCCTTGGAGTTAGAGAGGTTGTAGAACAGCAGGTAAGGCACTTGCCTTACAAACAGCCAGCCCTGTTTTGATCCTCAGCACTACATATAGAGTGCCCTGTGTCCTACCAGGCGTGATCCGTGGGTGCAGAGCCAGGAATAAACCCAGAGCACCGCCAGGTATGGCCCCAAACAAATTAACAAATGAAAAAAGAACATGACAGAAAGACAGGCAGCAGAAGTCTTGGGGAAAGTTAAGTGGATATACCTTTCAGAATTGTTATAAAATATAAGAATGTGAAACCCTATGTGAATCCTTCTACAGGGCATCCACTGTCACCTTGTGAAAAAGATTCTTGGTAGTCGAGACAAGATGGTAACTCAAGCAAATCAAATCAGCTATTTTACTCTATTTTTATCAATGTCTCATTTTTTTTTTTGGCCACTCCAAGTTGTGCCCAGGGCCTACTCCTGCCTCAACTCTCAGGAATCACTCTCAGAAGTACCTTTGTGTTGCTCAGGATTCAATCAGGATTGGCTTTGTACAAGGAAAACACCTGACAGTTCTACTATCTCTCCAATCCCAAATGCCTCATTCTTTTTATTTACTTAATTTTATTGGAAATTTTTTTTGGGGGGGATCATGGTTTAGTGCTCAAGGTTTATTCCTTGTTCTGTACTGATGGCTCACTGTTGGCGGAGATCAGTGTACAATAAGTGTACACGGATTGACTATCTGTAAGACAATATAAACTGTACTATTTCTCCATCCCCCAAATCTCATTCTACATCTAACTACCCTGGTCCTCCCTGGATGCTGAAGGAGTGGAGGTGGGGACTTACAAAGTGACAAAGGAAGTCGGGATAGAGCATATGGATTCAACAACACAGACTTAACACCTATATGATTTACCTAACATCGCCGCCAAGTTGGCAATTTTTCAATGCTGAGCCCCTGATGTGGAAACAAGGAAGAACAATCAGGTGGATAATTTATAGTGGGCTCCTGCCAAATTAAAGGCAGTAGTAACTGATCCAACAGGAGTCAATAGATAACTAAAATATAGAAGCCCTCCCCCAAATAATTTCCAAAGATCTGAAAGAATGTCTGACCCTGTATCAGAGTGCTCCTTACAACATTAACCTCATCCAAGAAACTATGACAAAGGAAATAAGACAATGGGCCCATATCTCTTTCACAGGCGATGCTTCAGGCTCCTTTAGGCAAAACCAGCTGCTAAATGAAGTGATGAAATACCACCAATGGAAACATTTATGCATGTTTGTCAGTGGGGACAAGTGTAGGTAGTCTACAGGATGTGATATAGCCTAAAGTCAACTGCCCTGTAGACATCAAGGAGGTGGCCATGCCAAATAAACAGAATTTGTAAGAATTAAGGTCCTTTATCTTGTTACACGTGCAAAAAAAGTGGGTGGGGGTATCAGGGAAGATGAAATTGGTAGCAGATGAAGAAAACTATGCTGATCAACTTGAGACCAGTTAGAGAAGCATACATTTTAATGGCTATGTTTCATTTTCTATCCCTTAACAAGAACAGTAGTAATGGCTAGTATTTTAAATTGCGAAAAGACTTGAATAAAAGGAGGGAACTGATATTATCCTTTTGATATCCAGTGCTCCTTTCCCTCCTCCCACTCCCCATAGTTTTCTTCCCTATTTCATTAAGCTGTCTTTGGTTAGCCAGTTTGAGTACGCTATTTAAATACATGTGAAATTCAGGATACTACACCAAATGGTGTAATATATAGGGGACCACATCTGTTTTTTTTTTTTCCTTCTTGAGGCTTAAAGTAACAATATGTTTATTTAAAAAAAAACAGTTTTAAGGAACAGTTTTGTCCAATACACACAATTTGTGTAGTTACACATAGCCATGAAAATGATGTTAAGTGTCTGACCTGACCAAATTAGGAGAGGCCAACTATGAGGAAACCTTTTTCCCTTTATTTGGCTCAATAGCTAGGAACTCTGAACGGTTCATGATCAATATGCATTTTGAAACCTCACTGCAGCTTTCCAGCTCAAACTAAAAACAAACAAACAAACAAAAAAACCCCAAAAAACTAGGAGTTTTGACTTCTTAGATATCACCACAGTGACTGATCATTTAAAAGAGTTCCAGATGTATCACCAAACCCTGAACTTTCAAAGAGCATTTTAGAAGTAGTCCAGGTAAAGTAACTAACACTACATCATGATATTAAAAGCAACAGTGCTGTGTAAAAAATAAAATGGAATATATTTAAAGTTATATTTTTGCCTCAAAACCACATAACAGATAAGTTCAAGGAAATTTTGTTTTAGATAACCCTTATTCCACCCAATAATCCTTTAGCAAAGCAGAGTACATAGCTAGCTGAAGAAAAAATCTCGAGTCTTAATAAGTTTTGAAAAAGAATACCTTTTAAAATGAAACAATAAAGGTAAAGGTAAAGGCCCTCCCGTTGATCGTCGATTTGCTCGAGCGGGCCCAGTAACGTCTCCATTGGAGACTTTGTTGTTACTGTGTCTGGCATATCGAATACTCTCGGTAGCTTGCCGGGCTCTCCGAGAGGGGCGGAGGAATCGAACTCGGGTCGGCCATGTTGGCCGCTTGTAAGGCGAACGCCCTACCCGCTGTGCTATCGCTCCAGCCCAAAATGAAACAATACCACTTGAAAATAATAATTTTCACAGCAAAATTTCACCTTCAAATATAAAGTGTCATATTTTGTAATAAGTGAATTACTGTGGCTAGTGGCCAGTGAGGAAAATAAAAATATACACTTGAAGATTTTATTTTAATGTTTTAATTGATTTCATTTTTCTGTAACTTCACAGAATTTTAGAATTAATATCTAAAATAGTCTTACATATTTTAAAAACTAAGTACAGCATAAGGATTAAAAATAAAAATGTAAAATAACAAAGATAATACAAGACTAATCTCACAATCCACAGCACTAATACAATTTGTCCATGTTGATGAATATCTCACTTCCATCACATCTTCATATTAAAATTAAATTTTAATATGCCATTATGGACAGAAGGAGCATATAAAACTTGGTTGAGAGTATTCTATATTAATTTTCTACCTTTAATGTCTTGGTTATGGCAATTTATGCTAAAGTGAAATGAAATTCATTCAGAGATTTCTAATCATATTTTTCTTTTATGTACTATATCCTAGAACTGAAAAAAAAATTATTCCAGATTTTTAACACTATTCAGAGGGAGAGATGTTCCAGATACCATCAATAACCATAGTTTAAGTTTTCTTTTTTTTAAAGACAAGTTAGAATGAAATATAAAATATTCTTATAGTCACGTTTCCAATAAAAAATATTTTCAAGTTTAAAAATGCAAAACTTAACTTTCTATTAAAGTCCCACTCTGGATACCATATTAATCCCCCCCCCCCAAAAAAAATAACAGTTTTCATCTATTTTATGGTAAACATGTGTGATATTTTCCTAGTTTTTCAATTACCCTCAATTAATCAATAATTACTATATCAATAACAACATTTTAAAAAGTTCCATAACAGCTGTTTTCATAACTGTAAAGGCTTTAAATACAAGATTATTGAGCTGACAGGCTTTTTGCCAAATGTGTAAGTCTAAAACAGAAGGACCATATGCACTCTGCAAGATTTATCAGTTATTCAACACACACAAATAAAAACATTGTCTAGCTCCTTCCTAGCTATGTACCGAAACTGTAAGTTACTTTGGGTTATTCTATTGCAGTCTCTTGAGTTTCTCACATTTTCTTCTTCTTTAGAGTTTTGGGGACACTTACCAGAATGGGTCCTGAGATGTCCTGTGAGGGCGTCCCTTCTTCTACAGGCATAGCTACAGAAAGGGCATTTGAACGGCTTCTCTCCAGAGTGTAACTTTATGTGTCTCAGAAGGTTGCCCTTCTGAGTAAAAGAAGCTCCACACTGATTACAGTGGAAGGGACGCTCACCTGCAGAAAGAAAAAGAAGTGGGAGATATCAGGTAGGTCACGAGTTAGTGACCAATTGCTATTTGTAAGTTAACTAAAATCAGATCTCTGTGCTGGGGAGAACTGCCTGCAAAATGTATAAGTATTTCAAAGCTTATCTACTTAGATTTGTCTTATGGTACTGAAGCTTCAAGCAAGTTAAGTGTCATTCTCCCACTATCACATAAATGCTAACGAATTCCTGTCTTTGATTCAAATAACAAAAATATTCTTGTCTTTTGGTGGGACAACTAGTTGTCCTGTTGCTGACAACTTTTCAGGTCATTCCTCATAATGATATTACTAATCTGGTATTAATAGTTTCGATTTGCAAATGAAGAAGAAATTGAAATTCAAACACTAAAGTATCTAATTATAGTTACATGGCTAATGAGTACTCTAGCTAATAATTTTAATCTTGGTCAATTTAACTATAAAACCATGAACTCTTCATTGTACTCTGCTATTACTTTATAAACCACATAGATCTTGAGTTGCAAGAGAATTTTTAGCCTAACTCTCTCATTTAGCTGATAATTTATCAGGAGGTCAAGGAAGTTCAATGAACAAAGCAGGTTACAAAGCTCATCACCACAAAACCTCCAAATAGAGTTCAGGTATTCCAATTATACTTCTCCCTAATAGTAAAACCTTTGGGAAAATATTCTATAACATCATTAAAAATTCAAAGAAAATTATTCATCCTGATTTTCCCCATACAGTCTCTTTTTTGTTGTGAAAGAAACCATTTGTTTAATAAGAATCCTTTTTTCCTATTACTAATGTTAACACTCAGTGTTTAAGCGAAAATTAAAGGTTCAGTCCATTGTCTTGGACTGCCCATCAGCAAAGAGTAGAACACAAAAACATACTTAATGAAGCAGTAAAACAGATAAGGTGGATCAAATTGATAAGATCATAAAATCACAGGAAAATAGAATTACTTTAAGTTTGCCTATCTGTCAAGATAGAAAAAAATGTTTTAAGGATATAGTTCAAACATATTATATTAAATCTCAAAGTTCAGAATACAAATAAAATTAGCAAAAACTCTTTAACTTAAACTAAATACATTTTTGTATTTGAGGTTAGATGATAGCTATAATTTTAATTTTTGAAATATTTATAGTGAGTTACCATGTCGCAGCTATGTAAAACATTTATAGTAATCGTCAACAATGAACAATATTTATTTTGTCTTTTTTTTTTTTTTTTTTTTTTTTTGCTTTTTGGGTCACACCCAACAATGCACAGGGGTTATTCCTGGCTCTGCACTCAGGAATTACTCCTGGCGGCACTCAGAGGATCACATGGGGCGCTGGGAATTGAACCCGGGTAAGTTGCGTGCAAGGCAAACACGCTATCCACTGTGCTACTGCTCCAGTCCCTTATTTTGTCTTTAATACAATATAATTCCTTTTTATTAAATTAAGGAAAACCAGAAATTATGGAGAAGATAAATCTCTGGTTACTTTCTAGCAGTTGTCACTGCACATTTAATCAACATATTAAAAAAAATTTAAAGAAATTTAACAGTTGATAAACATATGTATGACGAGATTTACAGCATTTGCTCATGTGGAAATTTTGCCTTAAGAAATCTGGAAATCTTAGGATTTAAGTCTATCTAAAAAAAACCTTATACTGATGTATTAGCTTGAAAAAAGTATCCATGATGTTAAACTTACCAAAAATTTTAATTCAGAGACCTTAGATTGATGCATTTAGTAAAATGGACAAAATATATCCATGATAAGCAAAACCTAAAACTGGAATATTTTACCAAAAAGATATTATATGACATTTTATAAAAAAAATCAAAATTTGGGGAAAAAAAGTCTGGCAATCCTCTAATTTTACACACACACACAATTAGTGCTCTAAAGTTGTGTTGTTTTTTTTTTTTTTGCCAAGAGAGCATGAATCTACTTCTTTTAAAATCAGCATTTTCAAAAATCCATCCCTGACAGAAAATTAAAATTGAGAGTAAAGAAACACGAACTTAACATTTTAGACAGAAGGGAAATAATATAAAAACATCTTTCATTCCTAATATTTTACTTTCAAAATTCCAAATCAGGGCACAGGAACTTTAAAGTGAATTAAATTAGTCTGCTAAAAAGAAACATATGAAATCATGTTTGCCTTTGGAAAATACTCCAGATCATGCTTAGATTCTCTGAGCCTCCTACAATCTTTGACTGAAATATTTAAAACTCTCAAATTTAGCATGCCAAATTTGTCATTCAAAATAAAGTTATTATAATGAAGAAAAAAACAGTAACAATGGCTTCGTTCCCCCCTCCCCCATTTCCTCTAACTGAATTTTACAAGAATAATGGCAGAACAAGTTAGTTTTTACATTGATGTCTGCAGCACCATAGCACTGTCCTCCTATTGTTCATCAATTTGCTCGAGCAGGCACCAGTAAAGTCTCCGTTGTGAGACTTGTTACTGTTTTTGGCATATTGAATATGCCACGGGGAGCTTGCATTTACATTGGCTAAACACCTTATTTTTCCATATTGAAATATTTTAATATAAGAATTACTTCTAGGGCTAGAGAGATAGCACAGCAAGCAGATAGTGTGTTTGCCTTGCACAGGGTTGACATGGGTTCAATCTCCAGAATCCCATAGGGTGATTGAAAGCAACATTAGGAGTGATTCCTGATTTATAGTAATAAATCAGAGCCAGGAATAACTTCTGAGCATTGCTGGGTGTGTGATCCCAAGCCCTCCCTCACCAAAAAAAAAAAAAAAAAAAAAAAAAAGGAACGCTAATTCTGAATTTAGATGATCATCCTTAAAGAGAGGAGAAATGACAAAGACTCTAGTTACATAAAGAAATTATTTATGTGTTGCTAAGAGAATCAAAGTCTTGGTATGGAGGTCATGCATATATTCCTATGGAAGTAAATACAGACATGATAAAGCTGAGTTGCCATACTTCCTTTTGTTTTTATTTATTTATTTATTTGGTTTCATTGGGCCACACCAAGAGGTGCTCAGAGCTTACTCTTGACTGAGCTCATAAATCTACTCCTGATGGTGTTCAGGGGACCATATGCAATGCCAGAGACATAACTTAGGTTTGCTGCATGCATGCAATGCAGCACCTTATCCCTGTACTAGCTCCTGATTAGATGGAAAAGTGGCAAAAATAACATATGTTGATTTTAATCAGATGAGGCTTTCAGAAATACTGACACAGATCTTTAGGCTATTTTTGTTTGTTTGTTTTTACATTTGTCTAATATGGCTCATGGTTTTCCTTATCTGGGTCTTAAATATGCAGAACTCTTTTTGTCTTGTTTATATTCAGTGATAATTCTTTGATAATCCTCTGAGTTTTTTGGATGTGATCCACATGAAATTAGTTGTAATTACAATGAAAATTCTCAAATAACAGACACTTGTGGGACAAAAGAATAAACTGAATTTAACTTATGAGATATTTTAAAAGTGTTAATTATTATATTCTAGGAACAATAATGTAAGAGTCATAAACAAATATGATTAATAATGAATCAAAAATGAACTGATTTTTTTTAAAAGCCATCCTGTCAAATGTCAACAATCATTTTATCAAATGTTGAGGGATTTTTCTTAGCCAAGGAATTAAGGCTACACATGTAAAATCATCTGACAATTAAATGAAAGGGTCAGCTAACTCCCCATATTGTCTATGTAACTCGAAATGATTTTTTAAATCATTTTATTTTTCATTAATGGGTATAATACACTCATATTTTTAGAGTTTATTTAGACCTTATCTAGAAGAATATGTTAATCATGTTTGTCAGATTGAAATACAGGTAACTTTCAGAGAAACCTCATACCTGTATTAAAAATGTATTAAAAAATGCTAACAACTTCAATAAAGCAATGGAATTATTAAAAGTGAGTAGATTACTGTACCTGTGATAACTAATTGTGTGAGCAGGAGGGCCCACCTAAGTCTATATAGAAGAGTAATTAATATTTACTCATGCTATCCTTCATTTCCATTTCATGGTTTTTTTCTCTTAAAACAATCTACTGAACTTGTTGAGGGCCATTTGAGTTATTCACTGGATCAAGGTGAATCTTACCATACAATAACTGTATTTCAATACTTTCTATAGTTCAGTGAAACACATTTTTAATCTATTCTTAAATACTTAGTTGAAATCAAGTATCTATGCATCAGTTTGATTTGTTATATCAAAGGCAGAAAGTGTTTCAATGTTCGACAGACCAGCTGTCTAACTATGAAAAAATCTAAGATATTTGAAGACAGGGTCCTGGAGCAAGAGAATGACTCCATAAAACTGCTCTGTCCATAATATGGCATGCAAAACTATAAGTTACAAAGGTGACAGTATTCTACCCAAAGAGGAGAAAAATAAAGGATATCCTATATTTATAAATTTTACATCAATTCGTGCTTATACATGAGTTGATTTATTATTCCTATTTATTTTCTTCTCTTTGTATTCCCAGTGAAGAATGCCTGGAGTGTCCGATGACAATATTACCCGATGATCTACTAAAGCAGCAACACCAAAGAAATAACACCAAACCATTAATAAGACACTGGAATTGGCACTTTAGTAATTTAGAAAGAGAATGGAGAAGTGAATTAGATCTGATACTCCATGTCATTTTTAAGTTACATATAAGATCACTTTATTCCTGAATCTTCTCAATTGTTTCTTCTTTTTACTTGCCCTTTTCCTTTCCTACTGGGACAGATGGAAATTTGTGTAAAAGGGCCATTTTTTGCACTCTCTGCCTTGTTTTAGTCTAGAGATAACCACCATGGTGGTGTGTATGCCACACAGCAGATGCGAGATTCACCTTCTCCCAATGGACTCACACAGTGTCCAATGCATATATCTTCCTGTAAACCTGGAATACTTTCCTGATTGAGTGGCATTTGGAGTGGCTTTATACAACCCAAGTTCATCATCCTTTTGATGAGCATGGATCATTTGCTGTGCTTCTATCTTAGCTCTGTGGAAAGAGGGGAAAGCATAATCTTTCTGCAAATATACGGAGGTATACTGAAATGCCTTTCATGTTCTTGTTCTGGATAGAGGTCACAAAGGGAACGAACTTCCCGTTGGCCAGGACTACATCAGTGACAGACACAAAAAGGAAGAGTCACGTCATTTCAACGAATTGGTTGGTTGTGTATCTCTTTTCACTATTAATTTGATTTTAGATATTCTAAGAGTAAAAAAAAAAACATATGTCTCTCAGAGGTTTTATAAGGATTTGAAACAGTGACTCCTTTTATGCTAACTATATAAATATCTGATTCTAAAACAAAGACAGTGGTTCATGGCATTAAGGAGTAAACATTTGGTTAATGAGTAGGTTATGACTACATTTCTTTGTCTATCTAATTTAACAAACAAACACCAATAGACTTTGCATCTAATATAGGACTGAAGAGTAGTTGAGTATATCATGACCCACCCAGATAGGCAGAAATTTTGGGTTATTAGAAAGAAATGAAATTAGCTAACTTAAAGAATTACTCTATGGCTCTGAATATATTAATAAAATATCCTTGAAAGATGAAGAAAGTATAATGATTTTCATATTACAGTACTAATTCATCAATTAAAAAAAGTACCTTAATGTTTGTTTAATCCATTGCCTTTCTTTTAATGATCAAATTAATCCCATAGTTATAGGATTTGTGGAACTCTGTATAAGCACATAGATATATGTAATATATCAATTTTAAAAATCAAAACAGTCCTACTCTACCTATAGTAGTCAATCAACTATGGAGTAGGCATGTACTTATTGTGCTTACATAGCCACAATTCTCATGAAATTCATTGCAGGCTACAGTGACATATAAATTAATATATATATTTTTTTCAAGAGAGCAAAATTAGGTTCTTTGAACTCTTTTAATGTAAAACACAAAAAAGGTTTATTAAGACTTTTATGAAACTGTACTTAGTATATGTTTCTGTCTTAAGACAAATTATTTGCTATTCAATTGAAAGACACTAAACTAATTTTTCTATCTGTTGTTAGATGGGAGAAGTTATACATCTAAGTATTATCTTTCTAAATATAGTAACTCTGGTATAATGAAGACACTATAACTCTGTTACTCTCCTGTTAGACCTTAAAGTTTTATTAGCCTAGAAGAAAAGTAGACTATTTTTAGTCTTTTCCTTTTATTTTCTTATTAAATGTAATAGCAAGGTTGATTTAAACCTTTCCATGAAATATTTTTTAATTACTGAAAGATATCACAATAATAAATAAAGGAACTGCCAAAACTTGGTGCTCAAAACTCAAAGAAACTCAAAACTAAACAAAAAGCAAACCTAACTGATTATTTTGTGATAATAAAAGTTCTACAGCTGATGATTTTAACTGGGAATACTAATTTTATTTATCTATATATTTGGGAGGGGATCTCTTGGAGGGTCAATCCTGGGGATTCTAGGCCAATCAGGGTGCTACTTGGGAAACCATGGCTAAAAGCAAGGCATATGACTTCCCTATTATCTCTCTGGCCCAAGAATATTTGTGCTAATTTGCAATTTCTGACTATGATTTAAAAATACTAAGCTTTAGAGTCATAAAATGGTATAGTTATTTTACCAGGGCTGGATATATCAGGAAAAAACTTAGGGACACTGGGAAACCTTGGCTGTAAATCTCACAGTGCAGGGATATGTAAGGGATAATGGACAATTCACTTGGTTGTTTGGGGTGTTAGTTTCTTCCTGTGTAAATGAAAGATCTGGGATTAAAAAGACTTTAATAAAGCACATGTCACTCATGTTTTAAAACATCGATACTTATTAAATTGGATTACCTAGAAATCAGTCTTTAAAATCAACTCAATTACTGTGATTTATTTTTTCAAAAGAGTAAATTTTAAAACTTATAAATTAATGATATCATTAACTTGGCTATATAGTAGTACTTTGAAATACAGTTCAAGCTATCTGCATCTTTAAATCAATTTTCATATAAGCTGAAACTTTTCCATAATACTCAATGATATGCTTCTCTTACCGCAATCTCATTGCTGGTTTATACATTTTGCTCTTCAATTTTGCTGAAGGATTTGAAAAGATTTCAATAAGGCCCTCTGCTCACTGGATTGGCCTTTTAAATTACTTAACTGTCTTAAAGTATATATTAAATCAATCTGAGGTCTCTATCTTCAGCCTATTCCACAGTTACATAATCCTACCCGCAGATCTACCACCTTTACTATGTTCCACCCTGTAAATCTCCTTGCAGGATTTATCATAAAAAAAAATTACAGTAAGATGGTAACATCCTTGGACTAGGTAAAGTATCTGCTTACTGCTGCGACCCAAAGTCAGCAATGATTGATTTGGAAATTGTATTCCACAAAGTTAACCAGATAAGGTTAAAATGATCCACCCCTATATAAATGCATGAGGACCATTTTATTATATAAACTCTGAGCTAGTAAACTATATTTCCTGCCCGTGGGTATGGTAAAGTATGTATAGAAATACAAAAAGATTAAGTTACACAATGAAATTCTCCTCTACCTTTTGAACCCTTATCATATTATTGCTATATTAAGAACTGTGGAAACTGAATCCCAAACTTCTTTTCTGATATGCTATTCAGATTTGAAGGCAGGAAGTCAAGACCCAGGCTACTCTCTGCTTTTCAGCAATCCAATACTAGCAGAATTCTGAAAAGGTAGTTTCACCATTGCCACCCCTGAATAAAAAGGAAAGAGAATAGATGTCAGGTAATATCAACATCAGATGTCACAGGCAGTCATCAGGTTATTCTTTCAGCTGCTTACCAGTGTGACTCCTTTTATGTACCATAAGCACATTGGGCCCAATGCAAACCATGCCACAGACGTCACATTTCAGTTTACCATTCGGAAGCCGGATTCCTCCCTCGCCTTGAAGCTCCTGGACTTTCCTGTTGTCGGCCACCTCGCTGCTCTCAATTAGGGGTTCTTCTAGGCTGCTCCCCTCATCATGGCCCCTGATATCGTCTTCACGGCTCAGGGGTTTCCTGTCACACTCTTCATCACTCTGCATTTCTAGTTTTACTGAATTTGCTGCAATTAAAAAGAAGAAAAATTCAAATGAGTGTTGTCCCCTCCACCTCCTCTGTACACATGGACGTCCAATGAACATGGTTGCAAATAATAGTTTTGAGTTATAATATGCTCCATTACAGTGCTACTATATACTGTGCTTCACCTATTACATTTGAGTGTGTGAAGCTTCAGCATTAAAGCTAGATGGCTCCGATTATTCCGGGCACAGATAATGATACTTTACTTTTACGTGTGCTTATTCAATTTAGCTACATATATTTAAAGCAAATATTTCAGTAATTCTGGTGTCAACTTTTTAGTTAATTGCTGAGTCTATTGAGCCTGAATTAGTATTATGTAAAAAGGGAAGATTCTACTTGAATTTAAATAAGGAGGTGACGTGCCTGATAAGTAGACTTCACTTCCTTCAAATTTGATGTCATCAAGCATGTCACCTCCCTATTTAAACATACACATATATGTGTATATACATATTTATATATAGTACTATCATATCAGAGTACTTATATAAACCTGCTTCTTAAATGACCAGGAGAAATAACTTGGGATCTTGGTATAGTGGCACACTACCAAGGCAAAAAGCTCTAAAGTCAGAATGAACACTTAAAATAATTTAAAAACTAAACAGAAATAAACAAAAGCACACAAAAGCCCCACATCATATGCTGTCAGGCTATTTAATTTTTTTTTGTATATAAAAAATCTCTGGAACATATTAGTCTGCAAATCAAAAATATTTTAAAATGAATGTATGTACTCCAAAATGCAGTGAATGATAAGAACATGCTTGATGATGGTAATGAAGTATAATGCCTGTTGTTTAGTGTTTTAAACATCCTGTGGAAGAGCTGATATCTGTTAGCACAGTCTTCATTCTGAATTCCTTAGAGAGTCTTTTCCCAAAGTAGGAGGGAAATTTAAGTGAACACCAGGTTTTTTTTTCCAGTGGTCTTCAAAATCTTTTAAAGAAATCCCATCTATGTTACTGAACAGAAATCATTTGGTTCTACTTGAATAGAACAAACACTTGAATAAAAGAAAGTAAGTTAATTTTACTGAGATTTCTTTCTGAGAGAAATTATACCTTCCGTGATTTGCCACTAATACATTCACCCATGTATATTAATTATCCTATCAGAATGGCTCACACCCTATTCCTCTCCTTGAAACCCCTTGTTAAGTGAAGCAGGCTGGTAGAATGGGATCATTGGATTTAGTTGGGAAATGACAGCCCTAATATGGGTTTTGACATTTACCAGAAATATAATCTTGAACTAATTGCTTAACCTCTGAATTGGCTATTTTTCAACTGCTGAGTTGAAATGAATTCAAATCAAAGCTTCAGCAGAATAATTTAGTTATTAAGGATGGGGATCCTGTAAGCAGAAATTCCAGATTTGATTAACAGCTCTGACCCTCTCTTTAAACAGCATCACCAAAAAACATTCAACACCAATCTCACCATCAGTGTAACTTAAATTTATTTAATGTAATAAAATTGTGTATCTTTTCTACTTTTAATTGTTGAGGTATTTTAGAACTATGAAAATTCTTTGCCAATTCTTCTAGTATAACCAGTATTTCTCACTGAATTTAAGTGTTTTAGAAATTTAAGAAATTATCCATTAGGGATCACTGGCATTATTCGGTAAATTTATATGTGTGTGTGTGTGCATATATAATATGTGTGCATATGTATAATATATATAATGCATTCAATTTTACATGCATTGTGTGGATATATAAGGGTAAACAATATAAAAACAAAAATCCCACTCTAATTCTTAACCCATTTCATTAAAATTTTGTTAAAATATTTTTAACCTAGTAAAAAAATGGCAGTAAAGAAGCTTCCGAATTCTAACTGTTAAATAAAATATTTTACTTACTTAAAAAATATAAAATACTTGCATAATTTATTTTTCACTCTTTAAATGTTTCTTCATATTATAGATCATCTAATGATTTGATCTATTAGTAGTTAAATCCAAACCTTTACTAAGCTAGACTCTAAACTATAGCTTATATTCTACAATAGAGATACTATTTGCAGCAAAATATATATTATAGCGCTCAATCATTGTATAATATATTCAAAACATGTTTGTTATGATCTCCGAAAATAAGTTTTTATATTAATTATTTAGAAGACATTCCATAAGTAAAATAATTTCTATGAAGAGGAGGAAAACTTGCAGTATGAGTGAAATTAAATTCCATTATTATAATTCTCAATGTCAAGAATTATTTTCAAGTTTATTTCATGATATGAGGAGTATAAAATTCAGGTACATTTCTGGAAATTTACAGCATAACATACTTAATATAAGTAACAACTAAACACAATGTTTATGGACAGTTCTATAGCACAGTAAAAGAACGTGTGCTTTTCAATGCCAAGTACCCCCCAAATAAATCAACTTAAAACATATTATCTGCACTGCTTTATTTTTTGGAGGGGTGTGGTAATACCCAGCGATCATCAGGGGTTACTCCTGGCTCTTGCTCAGGAATTACTCCTAGCAGTATTTGACGGACCATATGGGATATCGGGGAATGAACCCAGGTTAGCATCGTGCAAGGCAAATGTCCTATCTGTTGTACTATCTCTCCAGCTCCTGAACAAGCTATTAATAATAAGAATGGCACTGAAAATTGACTTTTATGTGTTATTCAATTCATAGTCAAAAAATAATATCAGTATGTGAATAATTTTAATTGACAAAATAAAGATATTTTGCATTTCTATTTTCCCCCTAAATTATATGATTTAAAACATTAATGTTCAATAAAACCCAATTGTTCACTGTTATAATGATATTTTTTTGTATATTGGGAAGTGAAGAATTTACATATATGCTAATTTTATATTAAGGATGATAATATTGACTGAAAAATTTTATGATCAAATAAAATTCCATGATCCAATTTTACATAGAAAAGATATTGAATATATTTCAGAATATAAAGTTCCACATACATATTTCCAAAAAGTATTGCTTTTATAATGGGAGACATTTTAATGCATTTAAATTTCACCCTAATTTTATAATTTCAACAAAAATCTTTCCTTTCTTTGAGGTCCACTAAGATTGCTAGGGGCTCCTTCAGTTCAGTGCTCAGGGTGGGTCTTAGAGGTGCTCAGGGATCATGTACTGTAAAGTAATAAACCTGGGCTTCATGCAAACCATGTGCTCCAATCCTTTGACTATTGTCTTCTGCCAGCAAAATACTATTGTTCAGCATGATTGCCACTCAATGCCTTTTTTGCAAACCACAGCACCCAAAAGGAGAGAGAGAACAAAAGGGAATGCCCTGCCACAGAGGCAGGGGGGGATGAGGGATCCCTGGTGGTGGAAAATGGGTACTGGTGGAAGGATGGGTACTTGATCATTATATAATTGAAACCCAAGCACAAAAATCTGTTAAGTCTACAACTGTACCTCATGGCGTTTCACTAATAAAAAAAAAAACTATTGTTCACCATTAGAATATAGCTACAGATGCTATATTCACATACATATTTAATCACCTCAATTTAAAATGACTATACCAATATGAATTAAAGAGATGACAGAAAAAAAGAGATTATGACAGAAGTTGTTATTATAAGTGATCCCAGGCAAAATAATTATCAATTATAAACACTTATACTAGGTAAACAAAGCCTTTGCAATTATCATTGTTTCAAGATACAAAGCAGAACAGGAAGAAAATTACACTAGACTTGCAAACCACACACCCAAGTTGAGAGAAAATATTTTTTGTGAAGGTATTAAAATAAATTTTAACTCATTACAAGCCATGAGAATTTCATTTGCAAGTATTATATTTTAAAATAAAAGTTATCATTTAAAACCTTAAGTTGTTTAAAAATAAAAGGGAAGATAAAATGAATTGTGATATTACAAATACTTAGGAGACCTCAAACTTATAAAACTTTTCTACCCCCAGAAGTAAGAAACAAGACCAAAATCGACTTTGCCTTGAAAAATCACTGGGCCAGCAAATATTTATTATATACCTATAGCTTGGAAAATACTTTATTAACATGTAGGCTTAAGTCTAAAAACTGAAGGTATTATTAACTTAATTAAGAAACTCATGCTAACAGGTTAGTACATATTTAAAACTATCATTGGAAAGACTTCACTAATAAGAGTTCAGAATATATTTTACTAAAATATAAATTTGATTTCTATAATGAATTTACTTACTTACATAAAAAGTATGCGTAAAAAGGATCTCCCTTAGAAATTGAATACTATTTTTACTCTAACAGTTTGTGAAGTTCTTTGCCTATGCAAGGTAAAGGTAAAGGTAAAGGCCCTCCCGTTGATCGTCGATTTGCTCGAGCGGGCCCAGTAACGTCTCCATTGGAGACTTTGTTGTTACTGTGTCTGGCATATCAAATACTCTCGGTAGCTTGCCCGGCTCTCCGAGAGGGGCGGAGGAATCGAACTCGGGTCGGCCATGTTGGCCGCTTGTAAGGCGAACGCCCTACCCGCTGTGCTATCTCTCCAGCCTATGCAAGATACTATATAATTTGTGATTTCTGGAAAACACACACTTCATATACTCTAATAATATAAAATTCTCAGTTTTTAAAATTTTTGTAGGGAAAGGTCATTTTTGCATGCACAAAGAAATATTTAATTTTCATTTACCAAATTCAAGAAATAAATTCTACCTACACTCTTAAAATTTGTTTTTTATAGATAACCCTAACATTTTGAACACTAAATTTTGGCAATATCATAGTAAAACTAACAAAAGAACCTCAAATACAATCGTTAGATTTGTGTTTGTTTGTTTTGGGGGCGATGTGTGGCAGTGCTCAGGGCTTACTTCAGGCTCTGTGTTCAGGGATTACTCTGGTGGTGCTCAGGGAACCATGTGGGGTGCTGGGAATTGAACCCGGGTTGACAGATTGCAAGGCAAGCTCCCTGGTTGCTATACCATCTCTCTGGATAGCATTTAAATATCTTTAATATATA